TGGACAAGTTATAATAATTCTTCTGTATCATGTCGTCTTGTTCTACACGTATGTATGAACATTTTTGTCTCCTTCAATTTTGTTTTTCCTATGCTGTGTGGCCAATATTAAACTATTTGTCTCGTTCAATTTTGTTTCTTACCATGATCAGAAAAAAACTATATTTTCATTGAATTTTTTTCTTTTCTTTAAAATTAAATAATAGCGCTTGAACATTATTTTAAAAATTCTAAGAATTGAGATCATATGCTACTAAGATCTTGAGGTGGATAAAAATTTAAATAAATAGTCCTTGATGCTATTCTAAGATTCGAAGTAAGAAAATCAAAAAATATAATATAATTTTTTAATGTTAATTATGAAGATAACATGCTACTCATCTTTTGTGGTGAATAAAAATAAATTAAAGGGAGACATGAAAAAATTTGTACTGTTTATTTGTGTATTTTAAAAATATTTTTTAAAATTAATTTTTTAATGTTTTTATGGTAATATTAAAAATAATTTTTTAAAAATTAAAAAATATATATTTTAAAAATAAAAATACATTTAAGAAAACAACAACAACGTTCTCAACCCAAGCAGTGCTCATAAATCTAGAAAAATAGCAATGAAAGTGACCGAATGATTTGCGAATACCATGCAGAGGAGTGGAAGCAAACATGACAGCACATAGAAAAATATATCTAGGTGTTGTGACGTGGGAAAAACCCCTATTTGCGGGCAAAGGGAAACAGTAGACCTACAGGAGGCACATGCCGACAATTTCTGAAACCCCGCGTTTATTTATTTATTTTTATTATTAATATGGGTAATTAAACAGCTTATATATAAACTCTAAAATTATATTAATATGGGCAGAGGGAAACGGCTTAGATATACATCAATTAATTATATAAATTCTAAAATTAATTTTATATAAATCTTTAATAATTATAAAAAATTTAAATTTATAATTATTAAATAATAAATTTGTGTAACTTATATTATTCTCTTACATTTTAAATAGCATGAAACACATAACCATACCTAATTTTATTTTTAGGAATATAATTTTTTAATTTTTTTAAATAATATGTTTTCTTGTTGAAGTTTTATTTTTAACAATTATTTTAAATTAATTTTTTAATATTTTTTAAATTATAAAAATAAAAAATATTATTTTAATATATTTTTAAATAAAAATCATTTAAAAAAATATTAAACAACCGTGTATTATTTTTGTGTAACGTGTGAGAATCTAGAACATGTGTGTGCCCCTCTCTCTCTCTCTCTATATATATATATATATATATATGTTATGATAAACTCGTGGAGCGTGTGTTATTCTTTTATATTTTGAATAACATGAAACACACTATCATATTTAATTTTATTTTTACGAATATTAAAATTTTTAAATAATATATTTTTTATTGAAGTTTTATTTTTAAAAATTATTTTAAATTAAATTTTTTTAGAGCTTTTGAATTGTTTTGAATTTTAAAAATAAAAAAAATATTATTCTAATATATTTTTAAATAAAAATCATTTTAAAAAACATTAAACAACCGAAAAATTAGCACGATTGACGCCTTGACGGATAAAGCGGCATAAATCCTTAACAATGTACTGACAAGACCCTTACTTTGTTCTTAGTAATTCACGCCCTGACTGACTTTGCTCGGCCTTGGCCTAACTGAAATTGAATGTGACATGAATCTATCAATTAATTTAATTCAAGATTAATAGTGCAAGAAGACATGGTTGTTAAACGCAACAGTTTAGTTGTTTTTGGGTTTTCAAAATATTTTATATTTTTATATTTTAAAATTATTTTAATATGCTAATATAAAAATGAATTTTTTAAAATAAAAAATATTATTTTAATATATTTTCATAATAAAAATACTTTAAAAAATAATTTTTATAACACTCTGAACACTTGATAGATTATTTAGAAAAAAATTAGGATTATTCAAGTAAAGTTCTTAGTTAAATTAAATAAAATATCAACTTAAAAAATTTTGATTGAATTTTTAGTATATATAAATTGATTTCTCGTCTAAACTCAATTTAGTCAATAAAAAAAAAAATACTGTCTTAATAAAAATAACTATTAGATAAATATGAACACAACATCAAGAAATTATAATTAATAAACTGCTTCAAGTTGAGAAAATTAAAAAAGAAGAAGAGAAAAACAATAAGTAAAACCATTTTAGATCAAAGATCAGACTTGGGTAAAAGTCTCTATCGAGATTATTTCTTATATTACATTATTTTTGCATTACAATTGAGAGATTCAAATTCACGACTTGTGAGGCATTGCCTTCTCGAATCTATATAAGCAACAATATTTTGCACCATCGAGGAACACACACAAGTTCGTTGAGAAAGCAGATCAAGCCCCTTGTAACGCTAGAGAGAGCAAGGGTGATACCATGCCTTCCCCTTCGGCATCCCGTGTCGTCATCTTCCCTTTCATGGCTCAAGGCCATACTCTTCCATTGCTAGACCTATCAAAAGCTCTTTCACGTCAACAAATCAAAGTGACCATCATCACCACCCCTTCAAATGCTAAATCAATAGCCAAGTGTGTTCCTAGTCACCCTGATATCCATCTCCATGAAATCCCATTCCCCACTATTGATGGCCTCCCTAAAGGTTGTGAAAACACATCTCAACTCCCTTCATTGGAGTTCTTGCTTCCTTTTCTCCACGCCACAAAACAACTCCAAAAGCCCTTTGAAGAGGTACTGGAAACCATGATAAAATCCAACGCCCCTCCCTTGTGTGTTATTTCGGATTTCTTTCTAGGCTTTACACTTGCTTCCTGCCAAGCATTAGGTGTTCCTAGGCTAGTATTTCATGGCATGAGTGCTTTATCAATGACCATTAGCAAATCATCTTGGGTAAATGCATCACAAATAAACTCACTGTCTATGCTTGATCCAGTTGTCCTGCCTGGAATGAAACTTCCTTTCACCTTAACTAAAGCAGACTTGCCCGCAGAAACACTGAACTCATCAAACCATGATGACCCCATGTCTCAATTCATAGGTGAGGTGGGTTGGGCTGATGTAAACAGTTGGGGAATCATTATTAATAGCTTTGAAGAGCTAGAAAAGGATCATATCCCCTTTTTTGAGTCATTTTACCTGAATGGGGCTAAGGCTTGGTGTTTAGGCCCTTTATTTCTGTATGACAAGATCGACGGTCTTGACAAATCCATTAACCAAGATCAAAATCCCTCCATGTCAACACAATGGCTTGATGAGCAAAGCACACCGGATTCTGTGATCTATGTTTCATTTGGTACACAAGCTGACGTATCAGATTCTCAGCTTGATGAGGTAGCCTTCGGCTTGGAGGAGTCAGGATTTCCATTCGTATGGGTGGTGCGTTCAAAGGCATGGTCTTTACCTAGTGGCATGGAGGAGAAAATTAAAGACAGAGGTTTGATTGTAAGCGAATGGGTTGATCAACGCCAAATACTATCTCATCGTGCCATAGGTGGATTCTTGAGTCACTGTGGTTGGAATTCAGTGCTAGAAAGTGTAGTAGCTGGTGTGCCAATTCTGGCTTGGCCCATGATAGCTGAACAATCTTTGAATGCGAAGCTTATAGTGGATGGACTTGGAGCCGGGCTTGGCGTCAAGAGGGTACAAAATCAAGGCTCTGAAATCCTTGTTTCAAGGCAAGCTATTAGTGAAGGTGTGAAGGAGTTGATGGGAGGACAAAAGGGAACGAGTGCGCGGGAGAGAGCAGAGGCCTTAGGCAGGGTGGCTCGGAGGGCGGTGCAAAAAGATGGGTCGTCGCATGATACCCTGAGCAAGCTCATTGACCAACTTCGTGCATATTATTCTAGAAGGAGCAAAAATTGTGCTTGCTAGCTTTCCATGCCGTTTGCCTTTCTTTTCCTTCACTTTCTCCCCAAACTGTGCAGGTAAACTTCTCCACCGGTTGTGCTCTGTTGGGTCGTTGCCAAAGCGCGTGGGAAGCAGCTTTGGTAAAATATAATGTGAAGCTAGCATCCATGTCAGCCCTTTCAATGAAATCCAATCTTGTGCTAAATAAAAAAGGGAAAACATATTTAACTTGATTGGTTAATTCAATTAGTTCAATTTACGTTGTTTCAAGGATGTATAATCTGGTGCGCACACCGAGGGTAGTCAAAGCTGCTTGCATTTTGCGAATTGACAAGAACGCACAGTGATTAGCATGTGGAAGACAAAGCCACATGAACTCCACAAAGCCTCCCCCACCAACCCAGTACCCTTCTGTGCTAGTGTCTGGCAAGCCGCTGGCGGCACCTTCAATTGTTTTTATTTCAAATTATTTTAAAAAAATTTTTAAACCATTTTAATATATTTTTAACTGAAAAAAACATCTACTACAATAATAAACCCTGCCAATAATAAACTAATCCATATATACAGTCAAGTCGCAGTGAAGTCAGGCAAACCTGATTTATTCATCTAAAAAAAAGATAAGGTCGACTTCAGGGGAGGAATTATTGAAGTATTGTTTTATTCGGTATGTATTGCTTTGCAGTGTATATTAAAGTCTTTTCTTTTGAGTAAAAAAAAAAAAAAGTAATTCGTATTAATAGTTCCAGACAAGTTTATTTTCTACGAGAGAACCAAATTTGGATGAAATCGTCTTTAGCCCCTCTTGTTCTTTCATAAAATAAAATAAAATAAAATAAAATAAAATAAAATAAAATAAAATAAAATAAAATAAAATAAAATAAAAAAGAACATTATTGTCGCTATGACAATAGTGGCCACAATAAATATTTCGGTTTCGGGTGGATAATACTGGACCCATGACCCATTTTTGAAGGTGGGTCAAATAGGCCCAACTTAAAAAAATTCAAAAATCAGCCCATCCCTCCTTTCCTGTTTCACGCCCAAATTGCATATTAAAATCTTAAACGTAGGGACTAACGTATACGAAACTACAAAATCGAAGGACTTTAGAAGTCTAATTTGTTACTCGTTATGAAAATATCTCTCAAAGCCGTGAAATAAACCAAAAACAGTAAGGAGAAACACGGCTAGCGCCTAGGGTTTATTGTTCTCTGTCTGGTTCTCCCTACAAGCCTTTCCTGGTACTTTCTCAGATCTCTCTCTCTTTCACTTGTTTGTCTTATTTTTTATGAAAAAATATTTATTGCTTACGGCCCATGAAGTCTTTTTTGTCTATTTTATAAGAATCCGGCGTGCAATTTTATTGTTGTTGTTCCTTGCTGTTCTTGATTCTTGGAAGTTTTTATCTTGTGTTGCTTGAGGCTTAAAAAGAGAAAAAGATCAGGTTTTTCGAACTGGTTTTTTGTTTATCTTGACAGATATAAAGAAACAATGTCTCGTGTATATGTCGGTAACTTGGATCCAAGAGTCTCTGAACGTGATCTCGAAGATGAGTTTCGCCGATTTGGTGTGATAAGAAGGTTGGCTTCTTGATCTTTTTTTCCTGTTTTATGGAATCTTGAATACGGGTTGTTTTGATAATGATGATTGACTATTTCGTTAATGAGTTATGTGTAGTGTCTGGGTTGCGAGGAGGCCACCAGGTTATGCGTTTATTGATTTCGATGATAAAAGGGATGCACAGGATGCTATTCATGAATTGGATGGTATGTGTTTTTTCCCCTAAGTTTAGTTTTATAATTGTAAGTTTTTTGTTTGAATCTTCGGTTATTTAACTGCATGACATGGTAAAGGCATAGAAAACATTTCACGTTTTCTACTTGTCTTTTCTTTTGAGTAGGTTGAAGTCCACCCCTCTGTTGTGTATCAATTTTATTCATCTCTATCTTTCTGCAAATTGCTTGTATAGTATGTGTATTACACCAGCTATTTGGTCTATTTTGCTGAGATTCATTTTAGCTGTTAATCAATTGTTTCTGGATCAGGAAAAAATGGCTGGAGAGTTGAGCTTTCTCACAACTCTAGAGGAGGAGGAGGTGGTGGCGGCGGTGGACGAGGAGGGGGTCGTGGTCGTTCTGGTGGTTCTGACTTGAAGTGCTATGAGTGTGGGGAACCTGGTCATTTTGCTCGTGAGTGTCGCTTGCGTGTTGGTTCAGGAGGAGGAGGAGGTAGACGACGCAGCCGCAGCCCTAGATATCGCAGGAGCCCAAGCTATGGTCGAAGGTGAATTTTTGAAACTTATGTTGCCTTAAATATATATGTATCTATGATGTGTATGCGTGCTTGTAAATTTCTGTTGTTTTGATAAAGAGGAATTATCTTTGATGTTTTTGCACCTGTTTAAATTCTTCTTTTGCACGCGTTGCTCTGGAGCAGGAGCTACAGCCCTCGAGGACGATCCCCCAAGCGCCGCAGTCTGTCACCTCGTGGGCGCAGCTATAGCAGGTCACCACAATACCGCGGACGTGAAGAGCTCCCATATGCCAACGGGTGAAATTTTTTAGTGAACTTCCTATTATTTCCAATTGTCATTGTTAGGACCTTGTCCTCAACCATGTTGCTTATTTATGTTGATTTACTAATGGGTGGTGGTTCTGTGTTTTGTGCAGAAATGGCATCAGGGAGCGGCGCCGAAGCAGGAGTTAAGAGTTGCTGCCTAGGTGACTTGGCTTTGCTTGGAGAATACTGAAATTAGTGTGTTTAATATGTTTGGACTTCAGTACGACTATGTTTTAAACGGGCAACGCCCTCAGCCTCTTGGATTTGGTTAAGTTTTCTTCATACTTATTACTATGTTAATCTTCTTTAAGCTATGCGGGATAGTTGTAGGCTTATCAAGAAGAAGGCTCTGTAGGTAGTTTTTATGAATTTATTGAGACAGGTTGCTTCTGAGAGTGGTGCTAAAACTTTATCCTTTTCTTTTTGTGTTGAGGTTTCTTCTGGGTCTGCTTCATTGGTTTTGTGCTTCTCTACACTTGAGGTTTCATTCTTGGCCACCCTGCATTGGGGTCTTCAATTTTGATTGTTTGGGGGTCCCTGCTAAACTGCTTGTCTACATTCTTCTGTTTGATTGCACTTCGGCTGTGATGCGCCTCCTACAAACTCTAGTGGCATTTCTTTTACTTAACTTAAAAGGATAGAGCTGCTTCAAATCTTCAATATTGAATGTTTGGGCTCCCTGCTAAACTAAGTGCCTGCATGCTTCTGTTTGATTGCACTCCAGCTGTGATGCTCGTTCCTCAAACTCTAATGGCATCCCATTTAGTTAACTTAAAAGGATAGAGAGCTGCTTCACACACTTCTGGCAGGTATATCTGTTCCACAGAAGTTGGGTTTTTTAGGAATCTTAAATGTGGTGGCCATATTCTTGAAAAATAAATTTCAAAATTGGTTGAGTTTTGGGGTTCTCATGGTCAAACAAGGGACTCTTGTTTTTCAGTTGATGCTTATAATGGTTTTACTTCTTGTTTAGTACTCTATTTAATCATCGAAATAATGGAGAAAAATGAATTGGATGTTCTAATTATTCTGGTGCAGGTAAAAATTCTTAAACTCTTCCCATCTCCTTTTGGTTTTATTCTTTCATGTCATCAGCTTTCAAATGGAGCAAAATTAAAGGATTTCCCCCCTGATTGAGTTGGTTATCGGTAAAGTTTTGAAGTTATCAACATTATAAAAAGTTCACATGTTTTCCCTTTTTTGCATCGGTCTATTCTTTCTTGTTCTATCTTCTCTCATCATTATTTGTTCTCCTAGTCCTATAGTATGGATACTGGTCTGTAATCACTTGGGGTCTGGTCTCTTATGGCGATAACAAAGTGGATAATTTTTTGAGATGCCGGAAGTGCTAGTATCTTCAAAGATGTGAGATATAATTCAAGCCCATAGCTGTGAACTTTGCCTTGTGACAACTAACCACATCACCCAACAAGCTCAGAGAGGTAACTTGAACTATTGTAGAAGTTGCCTGGCACTGTTTGGATGATTTATCTGGAACATTCGTTTTGAACCAATTCAGCCGGAGGATTTCTCTGCAATTTGATGGCCTTGGGGTTTGCCTTTTCTGACCTTGTGTTTCTTCATCTCCTGGATCATAAGTAGGCCATGTTTCCACACCTACAAACGTAATTTGCACAAAACTTGACTGAAAACTGCAAAGATGAGCATCGAGGACATTTTACAAGGCCTCTCCTTACCAGTTACCTGCATCAATCGAGTTTCTTGGTACAGTTTCTTCGTTCATTTTCTCATCTGTTGCATGGTCCCCCTTTTTTCTCCTTTGGCACAAGTAGTTTTATTGGATGGTCTTCTAAATATTTCTTGTGTATGAATCTTCTTTTTCTTAATATCATCAATTTTGCGCACAATTCGTTTAATTGTACTGTCACAGCAATGGAATTCTGACTGTTATCAATCAGTAAGATGAGATAATGTAATGATATCGATGCTCTTATGCGCTGTGAACTCTCTCCTAAAGAAAACCTTGGGAATTGTATACCTACAAAAACAATACAGCTATGTTTCTATTATGCTGCTCTGCATTTGGGTGTCGTGTGTTTCTCATTATTGGCCAAATTTAACCCAAGCATTGCGTTATGAGCAAGATTTGATGGCAATGGTGTGAACGTCTTTAGCCTTTGTGAAGGGGATTGAGTGTATTCGTGCTGTGGGGAAGATGCATTAAAGTCAGAGGTGCGATCAGCCTCAGTCATGCCATCTCAATTGAAATTGATCACAGGATGCCTGGTGGGCTCCTTGACAGAACCCATGACTTTCACGAAACGTCGATGCATGGTGCAAATCATCTTCCTTGCCACATGATCAATGAACAAAATGAAGCAGCCAATCCTCCTACACAACCTGAATCAAAAAGCAATGTTTTCAATGATGTCGGTTAAGCTGACAATAATATTTTTATTGTCATTTGAAAAAAAATAAAAATATATTTTGTCCAACTCTGATTCCTCAGTTGAAAAAAAAATAAACAGCGTGATTAGGACTTGTCTAACTTTGATTCAGCAATGTTTTTATTTTGTCTTGTTGACTCTTTTTTTTTAATTAATCTAATGTCAGGATGTTGTTTCAAAATATATTTACAAAATTTAGTAGCAGCTTTCAACCTCTGAGTTGTCCCACGTGCTTTATTTATTAGTCCCCAAGTTCATCGCTGTCGTGTCTCTCGACTTGTATCTATCTGTCAATCGATCCATCCTTAGTTTATAGGGTGCGCTTTGTCCTCCTAGTTTTATGCTCCGTTTGTCTAAATTCTTTTAGTTTAAAATTGATTAAGCTAAAGCATGCAAACCAACTCCATATTCACTTCTCTTTCTTTTCTCCATTACATTCATCTTTCGTTTCCTTCTATGAAAAAAACGATTATCTCTGGGATACATTTATTAAAATCTACATACGATACAAATTATATATAAAATAAAAATTATTATATAAAAAAAGATTTAAATACAAAGCCTATATTTAATGCTCCGTGTCACCTCATGAAATGCCTATATATATATATAATATTAATAAAAAATAAGGAAGATAACACATTAAAAATAATAAAACTATTATATTTACTATTCTTCAAAATGTATCAAATTGTTTTTCATCACTAACTTACCACGTATCAATATCAATAACCCATTTATAATTTATCAATCCTATACTTATAGAACCTCAACAACCAACACTCATTACTTAATTTTTAATTTGATAATTTATAAAAATATAAAAAAATTTATTTTAAACAAAAAAATCAAATTTTAAAAGAATGCGGTGTCTAAACATTTAGAGAATGTGCTTTATGCTCCTAGTTTTATGCTCTATTTGTATAAATATTTTTATTCTATAATAATTTTTTTAATTAATAAAAATATTATTTTAATATATTTTTAATAATTTCTCTTTATAAAAATATTCTATAAAAAATTTGATTGAAAAGATAAAAATAAAAAATAAATATATTTTTAAAATAAATTTTTATATTTTTAAAATAAAAAAAAAATAAAAATTACTTGAAAATATATTATCTCCCGCTTTGTTGTCTTCATGGTTTCTGATTGAAAACACTAACCAAGTATTACTGTAAAAAACTAAAAATATTGGTCTTCCCTTAATCCTACCAAAAAAAAAAAACATTTAGTGTGCCAAAGAGCTTTGATATTGGTTTTCGAATATAATTTAATAAACCCCGAATATATACTAACGTACGCATGAGGTATTAAGATTGACTTGATATTAAAAATGCTTGCTTTATTCTTAACTTTTGGAATTTTAATCTTGAAATCACTAATAATAAGATTTCTTAAAAACATTTGAATGTATTATATGGATAAGATTTCTTAAAAAAATTTGAATGTATTATATGGATAAGAAGAGTTGATCCTTAAAGAAGAACCTTTTTTAAATTGTGGTTCAAATCAACTTGAAAATGCATTTTACCAAACAATAAAAAACTAAAAGAAAAAATATTAGGAAAAGAAAGAAAAAAAAAGAAAATAGGTATGATCCACATTAATTTTGATCATATGGACATAGGATGATTACACAATTCTAATAATACCCCAGCACTATTTGCATTATAATTTATTAATATATCTATATAGAAAATATTGTAGTCATGTTCTTGTGTTGTAATCTCACCATTATTATTGTATATTGATCTACACATATACATAAATAAGATTGGCTAACCAATAGGTTAAACCTCTTAATTATTCTCAACTTGGTAGGAAAATCTTTTGTTGTCAAAACTCTTTTCTCCCTCTCCCCTTTTTAGCTAACCTCTATTCTCCCTCTTCTAAATGGACTTTGTTGCTGCCGTTGTCTTCTCCCCCAACTAAACCAGTGGTGCAACCCAGCCAGCCAACCACTTAAAAACTACTGCCACTGGTTCCTTCTCCCACCATCAGCAGCCTTAACCAGCAGAGTAGAACCATGGTTCCTTCTCTTATGTTTTTGTTGTCCCTCTTCACATCATGGAGATAACAACTCCTTCTATCATTATGTTGTCCAACACTCATCAAGTGATCTCATTAAAGCTTACGACAACTAACTATCTCTATTGGCAAATTCAGATGAAGCCATATCTTCTTGGTCAAGGTGTTTTTCACTTTGTCGATGGCTTAGTGTCGTATCCTCCCTCTCATGTTTCTGACTATTCTAATGGTTCTTCGTTGGCAAGTAACCTCTCTTTTCACCATTGGAAGCAATAGGATCAACTTATCTTAAGCATGTTATTCTCCTCTCACTCCATTGACGTCCTGTATCTTGTGGTAAATTGTTAGACTTCTTCTTGTATTTGGCGCGCTCTTAAAAAAACACTCGTTTCTCCATCGAATTCTTGCATTATGCAACTTTATGGGTCTTTTCAAGATCTTTGGCAAGGAGATGCTTCGGTTACTGCATACATGCAGCACGCCAAGTCATTATTTGATGAATTGGCTTCTGCTGGCCAACCCCTCTCTCTTGAAGACTTCAACCTCTATATATTTTATGGTCTTCGTGGTGAGTTTAAAAACTTGGTAACTAGTCTTGTGACCAAAGCATAACCACTGTCATACACGGACCTTCATAACCATTTTCTAGGCAGTGGCCTGCTCACCGATCTTTTAAATAGAACATCAAGTGTCAGTTGTGCTTCTTATTCAACCACACAGCCCTACAATGTGTTCAGTTTCACAGCATTGGTCACCAGCCCTATACCCATCTTGTTGTTGGTCCAATTTTTGCCCCTACTTGGTTCCCGGACACCGATGTTAACAACACGTTACGTCTAATCTTGAGACTCTAACTGATTCTGCACCCTATATTGGTAATGATCACTTGCATGTTGGTGACAGTAAAGGTCTATTCATATCTTATATTGGACATATAATGTTACGTTCCCCTAAACGCACCTTTACATTATCTAAGGTTCTTCATGCTCCTCACATTACCAAACCATTGCTATCTGTTCAGAAATTTTATCATAATAAAAATGTTTATTTTGAATTTCACACATTTGTGTTTTATGTAAAAGATCTCACCACCGAAGTAGTGCTCCTTTCGGGTCATAAGAATGATGGTCTCTATGTTCTTTCTTAGTCTTCTACCACCACTATTACTCAAGTTTATTGGTCTCTTTGTGTCTCTACCATTGTTGATATACGGCATCATCGATTAGGTTATCTTACTTGTATTTTTAATTTGTTAGTTTCCAAAAATAAAATAATGTCTACTTTTAGATGCTCACTTATTCAATGTCAAGCTTGTTCGCTTCGCAAGTTTTCATGTCTGTCATTGTGATGTACGGGTAACAAAACTATTACTCTTTTTGATTTAATATTTAGTGATGTTTGAGGCCTTGCTCCTATGTTTTCTTTTGATGGTTTTCATTACTTTGTTATTTTTATCGATGTGCATAAGAAATGCATATGGTATTTTTCATATTTTGCAAAATTCAATGTGTTTTCTATATTCTAATATTTTTAAATGCTTGTTGAGTGTCAGTTTTCTCGTAAAATTAAATCTATTCAAACTAATTGGGGTGATGAATATCGTAAGTTAAATAGTTTCTTTCAAACTATTGGTATTCATCACAGGTTAATATGTCCTTATACGTATAAGCAAAATGACAATGTTAAGCGTCACCATTGTCATATTGTTAAAACTGGTCTTACACTCTTAAGCCAATGTAGTTTTCCATTACGATTTTGGAATTATGCATTTGAATCTTCCGTATATCTCATTAATCACATGCCTACTCTTATCCTTCAAAATTAGTCTCCCTTTAAATGTTTATTTAATCGTACTTTTGATTACATACTTTTGGGTGTCTTTGTTTTATGTTTTTGCGTCCTTATCATGTTCATAAGTTGGATTTTCGTTCATCTCCTTGTATGTTCTTAGGTTATAGTTCCTCGTATCTTGGTTATTGTTGCCTTAATTTCGCCTCTCAACGTATATATGTCTCTTGTCCTGTTCGTTTTCATGACAATGTGTTTCCTTTTATAGATTTTAAACAGCTAGCTCAACCCCCAACCACTCCCTCACAACCCATATATTTTCCTACTTTGATCACCTCCCACAACTTTCTCCCAGTTGACTCGCCAAATGCCTCACCTAGCTGCTCTGCCACACCTCTAGCTCTACCCAAACAACCCCACCGTTTCATAGCCTTGTCTGCCACCATACCATCGCCACCT